CTTAAACCTGATTACGGGTTTTTTTTATCATCCCTCATTTGTACTTGAGAACTGTTGCATCCGTCAAACACTTTGGGCGCACCACATGTGATTTTGTGGGAGCCTTGTGAGTGACATGCTGTCCTACATTCCAACCCATCAAAGTATGTATGTTGAACAGCAGCTTCAGAGAGCGTGTTGTCCGGTTTCACTTCCAGCTGCGACCCTTCAATGCTGGCAAAATCTCAAGCTCAAGTACAACTCCGCATCACGTCGCTCAAGACTCATACATCACACAACTGACCACCTATTCAACAAGTTCACTAGCGAACACGTGGCAAGGAGATATCGCCGCTCTTGGTTGCATCTGCTGGGAACATGCCCCAAGCGCTTAATACTAGCCTTCAGAAGCCAGTCATCTCATGTATAACAACTGCTTACACAGCCTGCCTGTCCCGCGCCTCAGAGTTGCTCAGAGAAGGCAAGCTACGTCCGCAGTACTTTGCGGTCGGGGTCTTGGACCCCTTGCCTGATTGACGCAAGGAAGAATGGAGCTTGAGTTGCTGACTGAGTCTTTCGGTGATGTTGATGCTGCTTTCAAGAACGGACGACACATGGTGTGGTAGCACGTGGGGCAAATCAGCTGCACATGGTCCCCAATGTGCCCTCGTGCAGCGGCAAGTAACGTTGATCTTAGTGACACGTCAAACTCCTACCCAGCTCTTGCAAAGCCACAGGCATCCCCCTTTACAACTCTACAGGGCAAGCACTGCAACCAAATTCAAGCCACTCCCTGCAGAGATGCTAACACATTCAGACTGTCACAGCTGTGGGTGCTGATGCAGCATCCCTTTCAAAAAAGCCTCGTGGAACTCTTTTGTTTCTACTTGTGCTGAGCTGGAGGCACTGACTTCAACATGTACTGTGTATACATGATGCTACAATATCCTGCAACTTATCTTCCTGACCGTGGGCGGCGGACCTGTTTGCAATCTGCGGCCTGGATGCTGGCTTCTTCGGACACCGAAGGCATCGTCCAGGCGCTGAAGCGGAGGCATGGCTCTCAAACTTCAGACCTGGGACCTACAACAAATTCTCCCTATGACTATGATGGGTGGCTGAGTATGCTGGGGGCTCATTGCAGTTCGCAAGCTTTATTCATGTTGTGCAATATGTTGAAATGCAGTTGTCTTCAAGTTTCTGACCCGAAGTCCAATCATTCTTGTTGGCCATGCTGTATCTGAGCAAGCGACCCACACGGCAAATCCCTAATTGGATTCTTAAGGCTTCCCTGCGGGCTTTGGGTAAGCGGGTAGGATGGGTTAAGCATTGTGGCTGACGGGTTGCAGCCGCGCGCATTTCTGCAGATTTGGAGCTCGGTGCTGGATGAGTTGCATGGCATCTAGGCTGAAGGCTTGAACGTGGGGTCCGGTCGCATGCTGCCATGGTTTGCAGTATGGGCAGTGTCACACTAGCAAGCGATCAGCGCCCTGGCAAAGCTGCGGAAACGGCTGAAAAGCTTCTAAACACTGCAGTGGAAGCGGCAGGCAAGAGTTATGCAACATACTGCTAATTACTTGATGTTTTAGTGAGTCTCTGCGCGAGAAGGAAATATCCCTATTGCACAGGTAATGATGGAGGATGGCGACATGTGCGTGGGTAATTAGTCTTCTTGGCCCTCCAATCCCAACCTCAGCCAAGGCTTGGTGACGGTCAAGACAGAAGCCTGCAAGGCCTTAGGGAAAGGTGTTTTCTTGGTTTGCAGACTGGTGATATTAGAGGTGACGACCGGCTTGACCATTCACAGTTTCTGGGCAAGATTGTCTGTCGTTAACACCATGCAATGAATTCAGTAAAGATTAATGCTTTGATAGCTGGAACCCTCCGTATCTCGACCAAATGGATCTATGAATTGGTGACGCCCAAGGTACCCGTGTGCAGCCGTCGTCAGAGCTGCTTGCAAGTGCGGGCGTTGGGGTGTCCTGTCTCCTCTTTAATCATCCAGTAGGTGCTGCAGGGTTAGAAAGAGGTCTGGACGACACAGCTGGATCAACGATAAGTCAACAATGCACATGGCCGGCAAACACAGTCCGCACAACTTCTGATGACATTCTGCAACCCCTCGTTTTGGGCCCAAGGCAGGCAAACATTATAGCTAGCACAGAGCATGGACTTGCCCTGCGGGTGCCGGGGCATGGAATGAGTGAGCCAGTCAACTTATCAGCGACAGCTGGGGCAGCAGCGAATGGACAATCTCCATGTCACAGCCTGACTGGGCGACGGATCTAGAACTGCTGTGGGGTAGCAAAGGTATTGGTTGCCAGAGCCGGCAAGAAGCTGCGATGGTTCAAAGCCGTTCAACTCTGAACTTCAGTCCGGGTAGCAAAGCTGTGCGGCAAATTGCAAAAACTTGGGTCCAGCTCTTTCATGCTCTGGCGGAGCCTGTGTGTGGTCGCACTTGGCTGGCAGCAGAAATCCAATAAGAACACATCGGGAACACGGTAGCGTTTGCAGAGAATCTGAAGCTGCAACCGTCAACTTTGCTGGGATGCTAGGTACCCTTGGATCAAAGGGCTGCAAACTGGTCACTGCAAACACCCGCATGCCCAAGCAGTTTGCCCTTGTCTTCAAGGGAAGGGCCACACCCGGACTTGGATTGGCAGAGCGGTGGGCAATTTCTGACCGATGGATCTCACGACATCAAGGTCTCAGAGCACCCTGTTGGGAAATCTATTAAAGTGTACACCATTGTACACCAAGCTGTTTTTTGGAAAGCCACATGATCCCGCACCCAAACACCGCCTATTCAAGCACCAGGTAGATTCGCCAGGCGAGTCTGTCCGCTATTGAAATCCGGCCGGGAAAAACTGGGCTGTACACTTCTGTATCCGGTGCAAGAAGCTTCCTCAAATCAGCTTTAGAAGCACAAGCTGGGCACTGAGCACTTTTGGTTGAAAGCCATTTGGGGGTTTCCCAAAATTAGGGGTACCTTGTGGGGATCCCCATAATAAGGAACTATACTATTTATGGGTCTATATTGGGGTCCCCTTATTTAGGGAAACTACCATTTAATGACTTTAGAAGGAAAGGGCATTTGGAGCTAGCACCTGAACTTCTTTGCACTCATGGAAGGGTGAAGGCCTTCGCTCACCCTTCAGGTGAGTTAATGCGGTGGAAGGCTTGCACATGGGCCTTTTAACTGCGCAGGTCACCACTTCTTCGGAAACCTAACTGAGGCTATAAGAATCATCTTCATGAACCTTCGAAGCTCTACATAGGCACGACGGCTCCACACTTGAGACCTGGCAGCTTGTAACCAGTCAGAGCCCAAACCTTCCAAAGCCCACTCCGCCCAAGCTTGCGGAGGAGCTCTAGGCACGAATTTGGAAAGTCAGAGTTGTTTCTTTTGGGATATTCTTCACCAAAGCACGATCTTTACCAAAGCCCATGTGAATATGCGGAGGCCTTTCAACCTCCTGCGCTGCCGGATGGCCTCACATTCAACCCATGACTTCCGTTAGAGAGGACAAGTCTGTGTCACTGCTGGCGCCAGGAGATGGGTGTCTGTGTCGTATCCTGCCACAACGGAGGCAAAAGGTAGGGCATTTCACACCCGAAAACTTGAGATGTAATGCATCCATTCGGAATCCTGATTAGCTTGCGGCGTCCCTCTGAGTTTTCGACGCTGAGGAGCCCGGAGAAAATCTTGGGATCTTTAAGAAACACTGTCGCAGCTAGGCTGGGCCCAATGCGTGAGAGACCGGGGGGAGGCACCCTGCTTGAACCCAGGCTAACTGATGAAATTCACAGACGCAGCTCTGCTCTCCAGTGGAGTCGCGTGTCGCGGCCCCAAGTGCAGTCCTCACCCTTTGCTTCAACATCTGGCTGCCGAGCTGCAGAAAACCTGGGGTGCACGAGCAAGTACCGCGAAGCCTCCTGCCCCACAACCAACAATAAAGGACTACCTTATACAATTATTCACGTGGCCGTAAAAAGGTCGAAAATGGGTTTCTTGGACAGCTTCCATTTGTCCATTTGCAGACCAGCTGCTGTACATGGGCGACACAGTCTGTCACGTCCTCTTCTTCCTTGCGTCTGCCACCTGATGCAATACTCACCAGTGCGGTAAATTGCTGCTGCTAGATTTTTGGGATGCATCTCCTTGCCCTTCGTGAGAAGGAGGCTTGAAGGTCTGCGAGCCTGTGTGACATTGTACAGGCTCCCAGAATGATTGTTGGCGCAGTGGTGATGAAATGCTCTGCTTGTTGAGCTTGCAGCTTCTGGGCAAAGGGAACTTGTGTAATTGGTGCTTTTAGTTGCCAACAAAGGGAGGTGTCTGCAAAGTCAGGGGTACCTTTGTATAGTGAACGACACTTCATTCACAAGATGGTGTGCAAGATGGGCCCCTGCAAGTTCCAAGTTGTGGAAGCTACTGGCATCTCGCGCACCGTATATAGAATCGGCGCAGCGTAGCACCTCTCGACAGCTACCTCCCTTCTAACTCCTGGAATGTGTCAAGATCGTTCATGACGCTAGCCTAACATGTGCCCAGGAGCTTGGTTCCTGTAATGGTTTGACCGAATACTCAATGGAAACATGAAGGCTGGATCACCCAACTACTTCCTTTTCTCTTTCTTGCAAGCCAGGCTGTGCGCAAACTGTAGCAGGCGCGAGCTAAGACTGGCTGCACACATCTGCACACCGGGATGCTTTCGAACGACACAGTCCGTAAGCCGGCGCAGCAGACGTTAGGATAAGTTCAGCAACGCTAAATGTTCACGTGAAACCCGCAGGGGGCCACAGTGTTTGTCCAAGCTTCAGCCAAAATCTACAAGACGCCCCCTCAAACTCTTCATGCGGCTTCCCTGCTAAAGTCTGGCAATAATTCACCGTGAGCACTGATCATGGCACGTTGGTGTCAGACAAACATCGGCTACCATGGTACGGAAGCAGAGAATTGCACAACAAGTATTGTAAACTCCTTGGCAGATCTCACAAATCTGGCTCTGTGTTGAAGCCCGGGGACATCCGGGGACCCCCTTGTGAAAGGCATCTACTGACATCACTTCGATTGGCGGGCCCGCTTCAACGCATGGGCAAGTTGGTTGAAACCTTGCTGTGGGCTGGTCCCGCGCACTACGCTGGCTATCTTGTGCGACCAGCTTTGGAGTTATCTAACCGCCGTGCATGGCTGCATGATGACTTGGCCCCCCTTAGCCTCATACCTAGTAACACTTTACATCTGACTCCCCTTGCAGTAAACCAATGCAAAAGCTCAAATGCTGCCGGGTATGCGACTCTCGCCATGTGTCCCTGGGAGATCCTCCGGGATGCATTCCTTAGATGCTGCACGATTGAAATGCAAAACGTAATGTTGCATGCTGGATTTTCAGTTGAAGCTGGCTGAAGAACTGCGGGTGAAACTTATGTGGTTACCTCCAAGGCCACAGTAGTGAAAGGTGTGGCCATCACCGAAAATACTTGAGAGTAACAAGCCTTTGGGGTTGCTTGATACGCCGGCTGTATACTTGACAGGTCTACACTCAAGCTCCTGGCCAAGTTGCTCGCTCCGACTCGCCCTCGGTCTGCTGCGGAACCTTTGGGCCTATGAGAACCTGCCATTCAGAGCTGATGGTTTGCTTAGCTGGTTCTACACAAGATTCGAGGCGTGGGGGCAGGGACGGTCGGCCAAAGTTAGTGAGTTTGCACCAACCTCTCTCAAGGCGCATCTCAGCTCAGTGAAAGGCGGGGAGGTCGTCACATTGTGAGGACATCGAATTAATTTGCCACGGTGAACGGGGCCGAGCATCTGGATCTCTGTTCGTCTTGCATGGGACTATTGTTCACTGACGATTCTCTGTTGGTAGCACCGTGCTTGCAACAGGCGTCAGGAACACAAAGTCATCTTGAGTAAAATGCAATATCAACTAAGATCTGTACGGCCAGAATCAGTAACCAACAAGACCCAATGTGCTCTGTAACCGTTCCTTGCGATGGGAAATCTAATTTGGAAGTGTGTCTGTGGAGCCAACTATCCTTCCATGCACCCGAAAATTAC